CACTCACCTCAGCCTCCCAAAGCGCGGGATTACAGGCTGAGCCACTGAGCCCGGCTACAATTTAGTAATTTATAAGGGTGTTTTTTGTTTTTTTTTTTAACAACTTTGCCTATTCATAATTAAATAAGTAGGAACAGATCATTACACATTCATGTAGTCTGTTCACTCTACAGGACTTTGCATCAAACTGTCACAGAGAAATGGTTAAAAAGTTTCATATGTGTAACTGATTAAAAAAGCTTTTAAGGTTTTTTCAGCCAAAACATTAAAAAAGCAAAACAAACAAACAAAAAACTGGGAGGGCAGCAGAACCAGAGGCCAAAAAGGCACCCCAACTGGCAGTTGCAGTTAGTGACCAAAACTCCAGACACCCATCAAAGACCTGGTGAAAACAAACCTGCTAAGGGAATGGTGTCCATTGCTTAGGGGTGTAGTCAGTGGGGGCACTGAAAGCATAGTTGCCCCAAAGATGCCTAAAACCTCCTGAACCTTGTCCACTGTGCTGGCCAGAAAGCCATTATAAAGCAAGTGCATTCTCTTATGAAGCTGTAGTGGCCGAAAGTTCAATCCGAGAGACCACCAAGAGCCAATTCCGATGAAAGTTCAAGAGGGTCTTTATTTACAAGCTCGAGCCTGGGCCTCTGTCGACATTCAGAGGCTCTGATTTCCTTAAGCAGATGCCTTTTATGCTTTTACACAAAGGGAGGAGGAGTTTGGGGGAGCTTTCCAGTTGTGTTACCATTTAATTGGGTAGTAACCTCTGGTGGTCAGCTTAATCGTGGAGGATTGGCTAGCCTGACTCGGGCTGACCTTGGTCCACTAGCTAGGGAAGTTGCAGAGACATCTGGAAACTTAGGTGATTACTCCCTGGCACCTGATTGTTGCTAAGGGGAAAGTGAGACAAGGGAAGAATAACTGGAGCTTTGCAGTTTCTCCCATAACTGGAACTTTAAACAGTTGTATGTTTCAAGACAGAAAACTAAAATTGGCTGTGCTATTATTGTTCACAAGCCGATTACATATTTATTGGGGTATAGCATGCTCCTAACCTAAGGCTATGGTATACTCTATTACGGTCCTCTCAAAGCGAGAACTATGGCTCACAAATGGTGGCCACTTATGAAGGTCTATAAATCTGCTAAACTGCCTGGCACTGGCTCACCATCACCCCAACAACCCTCCAGGTGAATATTAAGGTGCTGGAACCCAAATTAATTTTTTTTTCTTCACAGGTCTACACATCTGTTTTTGCTACACAAGATATTTGGCCCTGCATATGCCAGGCCTCACAAAATTTGTTTACTGACTCATAACTGTTTCTCTCCATGGAAATCTTTAGTAAAAGGTGAAAGATTTATTCGTTCTGAAGAGAAACCAGAGCATCCAAATTAATTTCTTGATCAACACAAGTGCCAGCCGTTTGACACTGGCCATCCATGTTAAAATTGTAAATTTCAGAGTCTAAGTAGTTAACCTGCAACTACAGTGTCAAATAGAGGATTTTTATTTTTTAATTTTTATTTATTTATTTATTTTTTGAGCTGGAGTCTCACTCTGTCGCCCAGACTGGAGTGCAGTGGCCGCTCCTGGTCACCGCAGCCTCGCCTGCTGGGCTCCGGTGATCCTTCCGCCTCAGCCTTCCAAGTAGCCGGAATTACAGGCATGCGCTACCACGCCCGGCTGATTTT